AAAAGATAAAGAAGAGAGGTGATGCCATGTATGCATTATACCTACTTATATAATATTTGCATTTTGCAAATTTCCCATTGTTTCAATACCTGTGTGGTTGACTTTCAATTTTAAGTGAAGTGACATACAATCTATAACTTCATAATGGCTGCTTATTTATTGTATCTTTCAGTTAGTAAAAATGTATTCAACCTGACTAAAATTTCGAATTATGTCTTTTATGTTCCATCCTTACCATTGTTATTAGATTTAGTTAACTGTATAAGACCATAAATGTATGTCATAAATATGTAAATAAAGGATGTTGAATCTTGTTTAAAAGAAAAAAAAAAAATTGAGGGATCAGTGCAGAAATTTCCCAGTGTGCTCCCTGCCCCCCACACATGCCTCACACATGCTTGGCTTCCCCCTTTACTAGTATCTCCCTCCAGATTGGTACATCTGTTACAACTGGACGACCTACATTGACATATCATAATCATCCGAAGTCTTTAGTTTACAGTAAGGCTCACTCTTGGTGGTGTATGTTTTGTGGATTTAGACAAATGGGTAATGACATGTACCCATCATTATGGACTCACACAGTATTTTTATTGCTCTAAGAATTCTCTCTTGTTTGATAAATTTTTACAAAGTGAAAATATCCATGCAGTCAGCATTCAGATTAAGAAACAGCATTGTCCCTTTGTCTCCCCAAAGGTAACTGCTAACTTGATTATTAGCTTTATAGATTAATTTCATCTGTTTTTGTATTTTATATGACTGGATCATCAGATATGTCCTTTTGAGTCTGGCTGCTTTCATTCTTTCTATTCAGTGTGATATGATATTCATCTACGTTATTACATGTCGTTGTAGTTTGTAGTTGTGAACCTCAGAAAATTTGTCCCTTGCACTTGATCTAACAAGAAATATTAAAGACTTAATGTGGTGCTCTTTGGGTGGAATATAGTTATTAGACAGTCATAAACTCTGTCCTCTTCTGTAATAGCATAATATTAGTCATATGAACTTAGAGATTTTGGAAGCTAATAGAGAACATGAGTATTTGATGGCACCAGTAATTACGTACGCATGTACTATAGAGGTTAGTTGCAGTAACTCTAAATAGTGGCAGAAATTTTGTCAGTGTGCAGGTAGACGCTTAATTGCTTTGCCGTTAGATCAGCTCATATCAGCATCAACAAAAACCCAGACTTCTTCGTTGGCCCCTAAGATAGTCTGGTATTTGCCTGCTTTTTCTTAAAACATGTTAACCTTCATTTTATGTTTGCCCAGGCAGCAACATGGCTGGTGCTGCTGTCATAGTTCCTGGGTTGTTGCGAGGCTCCGTGGGTGCCATCTGCACTCAGGCTGCTTCACTGAGACCGACACCCAGCGCTTGGCGCTACGTCAGTCTAACCAGGTGAGTGGCTGGCCTTCAGTGTCACATGAGGATGATTTTCAGAAACCTGACCTGCTGCGGTTTGAGGGAGGCATATCAAACTTCTGAAGGCTGATCATAAGATCTTGCTTTAAGTGCATGCCCTCAGTAGATCTTTAAACTTTGGTTAGATGTACAAATTTTCACTGACCATTTTGTAGGATTCATAGTGTTTTCTTGTATTTTGGATTGTCATGATATTACAGGGGAAACTAATTATTTTGTGAGGATAACACTTAATAACATAATTTTACTTTCTATTAAAGTGTAATGAAATCCAAAAGGAAAGCTGATCACTTGGAGAGAACTGCAAATGTCATCCGACGGGAGGTTTGTATCTTTTGGCTCTGGCAGGTTTTCCTAGGCTGGGCAGTATGCACAGTCATGGCTGGTTTACAGAGAAGGCAGTAGACGGACTTGATCTAGCCAGGGAAAATCTATTATTTTCTGTTCTGAACTTTTCTGAGCAGGGCATATGGCAACTGATTTAAAAAATAACAGCAAAATACATACATATTCCCCTTTTAAACATGGATTAATTTGATGAAGGGAGGATAGCAGCAATTGAGGAAATGTTTAGGGTCATATTTTTAGAGATAGAACTTCTTTCGGAGCCTACATTTTATGAATAGCTTACTTTTTCTTTTTGATTTTTTTTTTTTTGGCACCATATCTCAAAGTTTTTGTTCTTATCCCTGCTTTAGAACTTATTATTTCACCAAGGGAGAAAGCACTAACATCTGAGAAAGGAAGGTGGATGAGCCCTTATTATCCTTCCCATGGGCAGATTTTCCACCAAATTCAGATCATAGAACGCTAACCCACCACCTGACGGGGCATCGGGGGCTGAGAAGTAAAGGATCCTCACCCTTACCTCAGTGAGGGACCCATTCTCTCTTAAAAACATAAATGTGATGTTTGATTTTGCTTTTTGAGTGATTCTTCACATATTTGGATATCTTTAGCTTAGTATTTTAAGTATATTTAAACTAACGGTAAAAACTATGTATTTCTTACCGAGAAGGATTATATAGTTCTATAAACATTGTCAGAAATTGATTGAATTATTATAGTAATTTATTTTTTAGTCTTAATAGTGGGATACACTTTAATGTAAAAGAGTTTTGTCCAGGCCCCACTTTTCAAGTTGATTCTGCTTTCAGAAAATTGCTTGGGGGCCAGGAGTGATATGTTTGTGGATTCAGCTTTAAGCCAGTGTTTTGTTTTGTTTTGTTTTGTTTGAAAAGTCTGTGTACAATTAGTTCAGCATAATAGATTTATGGATGTGTGGGAAAATGTACTTTTCCCACTGATGATAAATCTGAAAGTACTTTTATGTTTGTGTGTGTGTGTGGTTTGTTCAACACACAAAAATGCTGAGTCTGTAAATATGAGTGTTTTTAGAATTTCTTTTTAAAAAGTGAAACCTTGGCCAGTTTTGAAGAAGAGTGATTTATTTAACAGTCTTGGGCTATACTTTTTTCTGTTGTATTTTGAGGCAAGTAGAGTTAGTGCAGGGTTTGGTGAACTGTAAAGGGCCAGATAGTAAGTGTTTTAGTCTTCATAGGTTGTGCTGTCTTAGTTACAGCTACAAAACACTGCCTTTGTAGTGTGAAAATAGCCTCAGACAACATGTCAACAAATCATGTGGCTGTGTTCCTATAAACTGTTATTTACCAAAACACACAGATTTGGCCTGTGGATCGTTTGCCATTCCCTGAATTAGAGTAGCATTTCAGAATTTTACAGGACAAAATTATTGAGACTTTTGGAGGGTTATTTGGAGCCAAGTTTAAGAAAACTACACAGAAAGCTAATGTAAATTCTACTAGTGTGATTGAAAAGTTGAGAGTTTTAATGCTTAGAAATCAGAAAATAACAAGGATAATTCTGACCATGGTATTTCCCAGGTGGAAGAATTTTCCAATCGTCATTCTTCTCTCCTGTTTATATTTTCCATTCCTCTCCCAAACACAATGAGAACTGGGAATGGGGAGATGCTGGATAAAGCTAGATGCTATCTGGGGCATGACCTTAGTGGTATAAGGTCATCTGGGGCTCACCCTAATTCCTCCAGAGGGCGGCTCCTAGCCATAGAGCAGGAGCTTGATCCTGGACTTGTTGAAGTGAACAGCACGTCACTGAAACAGAACTGGACCACCTTCTCATAGTTACATCTACTACCCTTGCCTTTGATTTGTAATGTAAGTATCCTTTACAAAACTCCCCACATGTAATATTCTCCTCAATTCAAGGCTGAGGTAGCCTAAGAATAGGGTGGCATTTGCATTTTACAAAAGAGGAAGTGGCACCTACAGGACACCAGGGGCTTCTCCCAGGGCCAGAGGGAAGCCCCAGCCTAGGCGTCTGAGTCCTATGCCAGGAACCTGCGGCCCCTCCTGGAGTGGGTAGAGAATGGAGCACTCACCCACCCAGAAAAGTCCCTTGTTATTAGTCATTGGCTTCCCTCTGCAGAATGAATGACCATATTGTCATGCTTCTTATTTGGGCTATAAATGTAACTGACCTTGGGCCATGCTGATGCAGGAAACTGAGCTCTGAATTGAATGATACTTGATTGTGTTCAGGCTCACATATTTTTCTTAAGAGTCAAAGAATAATTAGTCTGGGTAACTACTTAGAGATCTCAAAGAGATAAGAGTAAAATTCTGTAATGTAATGCAGTAAGGATTGTTCAGGCAAGACTTAAGATTTTGCCGGTAGGGTTCCTCCAAGCTTGGCCTCTGGAGAGCGCTGTCCCACTGAGCAAGACATAGGCTATTCATCAATTTGATGGGAGAGTTTGTTAATAAAATAATTTTTTAAATTACTAATTTTTATGCATTTATTTGGAAATACGTCAGACAGTAGGCTAGGTCTGTGGTTGCAGTTTTGAAAATGGTAAGGTCCCTGACCTCGGATTCTAGTGGGACTCTGATGAGAAGAAACTGATTTTATGTACCTAATTGATTTTGGAAAAACCACTAATTCTTTTTCAGTTGAACTAGTTTGCTTTATTTTAGAAGTCTGTGCCTTATCCTACAAATGTTGTACAGAAACCTTTTTGTTGCAGAGCCCTTAATTATATAGTATGTTGTTACACAACCAACCTGGGAGGGAGGTGAAGGGATCCTTCTCCCCATTTCACAGATGAGGAAGTGAAGATTTGAGAAGTTCAGATATGGTGAGCCTGCTTCCTCATTGTCTCGGATAGTCCTGACTTCTGCTGCTTGTCCTGGAGTAATTATCAGTACCACCCCATTTCACTCCCACAAGTGCCCTGTTTTGGGTGATAAATTGCACTGCTGGCTGAAGTTTAAAAGACTTGTTCCAGTAAGTGGAGGACTTGGCCCTTGAACTCAGATTTTTAATACCAAACTAGTTTTTCTTTCTACTAAGACAAAAGAATGTAACACTTGATTTAGACAGTTTGATTGACTAATACAATGGAAGATAAGTTTCCCACATCCTCATCTGTGTTCTAAATCAGAACTTCACTTAGGTGTTACTGGACCTAAGAAAGGAGGAAGTTCCTGCTGGCACACTAGTTAGTTAATAAAGTTGAATGACTGGGCTCCTGGAGCAGAGAGAGACCTTTGGGGACCCTATGGGTCCCACCGCTGATGATTGGCTGGACTTGCAGTTTTGCTGATGCTTGGGTTTGAGTGGAACAGGCTGATTAGCTGGAAAGCTGGACTGGGTGCTGTGTTTAACCCTTAAAATTCTCTGCTTGTCTCACTCACATATTTTGGGAAGATTGTATGCTGGAGCGGCCTTCAACTTGCCGAGGTTGCAGGGAGACATCTCTTTAATATAGAATGTTTTCCAATCATTGGACACCTAATTTGCTTTGATTATCAGTCTGATGGTCAGACAGCCTTTTAGAGATTATCCAGCCTGGAACAAGCAATGCTTGGCATTCTAGCTCAGACAGAGCAGTGGGCGGTGGGGAGGGACACTCGCCACCTAGAGGTAGCTTTGTGATTGGTACAGCACCTGGGCCTCAGTCCTTTGGAGAAATTCCCAGGAGGGTGCTGCTGTCTGATGGGCCTGGCAGCTGGCCTCTGGCTCCTGAGGGGCACAGCTCACCCCACTTGAAGTTGGAGCCCATGGAGAGGGCGGCTCCTTCGGGGAAGCCCAGCTCAGCAGTGCGGCGGCTACAGGATCGAGCCTAGTGCTGCCATGACATCGGCAGTCAGCACAGGTTTCATTAGTTGGAATTAACAACTGTTAATCCCACCTCTGTGGCTGACACCTGTACTGCCTCAGGTGTGTCACTTTGTAAAGTAATAATGGTGGTGATCCATCTCAGGAGACTGAGGTGTTGATCAGGTGCCCTCTGTCATTCTAGACAGGAGCTGTGAAAAATGAGGAGTTGCCTGCACTGCTGCCTCTGACCTGGGCCTACAGTTCAGTGTCTGAAATGTGTAGGGTCCGTGCTTTTCAGTGACACACGTTTGTTCAATAAATTACGTAATCTAAGAGGTAAGGCCCTTTTCCATTTTCCCCTTAGTGGGTCCACCTAAATGGATTTTAAACCCAAGAGACATGTGTTGAGTGCCAGCTGTGTGCCCAGCACTGCTCTGGGTGCCGGGAGCAGGGCAGTGCCTGAGGAGGCCAAGCCCCTGTGCTTGCGGGGCTTCACTCTGGTGCACACAAACTGGGGAGTGTCAGCGGGGACGTGTGCTCTGATGGAAATAAAACAGGGTAGTGGGGTTGTGGGAGGTAAGCATGACTCAGGGTGGGGGTGCCGTGTTAATCAGCATGTGAAGTTGGAGTTGAGACTTGAAAGGAGCCAGCCAATGCCTGGCATTCCCGGCAGAGGGACTGTCAAGAGCCAAGGCTTTGAGGCAGGAACAAGCTTGCCATGTTCAGACGAAGGCGGCATGGCATGAGGTAGGCAGGCCACAGATTATATAAACCTGTGGGCTTGGATTGGGAGTTGGGACGTTATTTGAGGGTGATGGAAGGTTTTAAGCAGGGAAATAACATGTCTTAGATTTTAAGTGGTTCATCTGCTTGCTTGCTAGAGTACTGGGCTTCTGCCGTGCTTTGACATGAGATGGAGGCCACTGATGCAGCCCCAGGAGAAGCTGAGTGGTAGTGGTGGGAATGGGGAGCAGTGGGTGGGTCTAAGGCAGGCTGGACTGCTGGGATTCACCGATTGTGGGTGGGTGCGGTTTGTGAAAGAGAGGGAACCAAGAGGTTTCTGGGTTTGGGACTTGAATAACGTGAATTGTTGATGGCAGTGGCATATATTTGCTAAGGTGGCGAAGAACTTGTTTGTAGTGGGGAAATAAAGAGCCCAATTTTGGAATAATCTGGGGTGGGAGGGTGGGAAGTGAATGGAGTTACAGATGAAACAAGATTAGCCATGAGTTTTATCATCTAATATCAGCTGTTGAATTTAGGTCGTGGGTACATGGAGATTCATTTTACTATTTTTACTGTTTTGTATATGTTTGACATCTTCCATAATAAAAAGGAAGAAATTTATTAAGGAAGATAAAAGTGGCAGTAGACGGACTTGATCTAGCCAGGGAAAATCTATTATTTTCTGTTCTGAACTTTTCTGAGCAGGGCATATGGCAACTGATTTAAAAAATAACAGCAAAATACATACATATTCCCCTTTTAAACATGGATTAATTTGATGAAGGGAGGATAGCAGCAATTGAGGAAATGTTTAGGGTCATATTTTTAGAGATAGAACTTCTTTCGGAGCCTACATTTTATGAATAGCTTACTTTTTCTTTTTGATTTTTTTTTTTGGCACCATATCTCAAAGTTTTTGTTCTTATCCCTGCTTTAGAACTTATTATTTCACCAAGGGAGAAAGCACTAACATCTGAGAAAGGAAGGTGGATGAGCCCTTATTATCCTTCCCATGGGCAGATTTTCCACCAAATTCAGATCATAGAACGCTAACCCACCACCTGACGGGGCATCGGGGGCTGAGAAGTAAAGGATCCTCACCCTTACCTCAGTGAGGGACCCATTCTCTCTTAAAAACATAAATGTGATGTTTGATTTTGCTTTTTGAGTGATTCTTCACATATTTGGATATCTTTAGCTTAGTATTTTAAGTATATTTAAACTAACGGTAAAAACTATGTATTTCTTACCGAGAAGGATTATATAGTTCTATAAACATTGTCAGAAATTGATTGAATTATTATAGTAATTTATTTTTTAGTCTTAATAGTGGGATACACTTTAATGTAAAAGAGTTTTGTCCAGGCCCCACTTTTCAAGTTGATTCTGCTTTCAGAAAATTGCTTGGGGGCCAGGAGTGATATGTTTGTGGATTCAGCTTTAAGCCAGTGTTTTGTTTTGTTTTGTTTTGTTTGAAAAGTCTGTGTACAATTAGTTCAGCATAATAGATTTATGGATGTGTGGGAAAATGTACTTTTCCCACTGATGATAAATCTGAAAGTACTTTTATGTTTGTGTGTGTGTGTGGTTTGTTCAACACACAAAAATGCTGAGTCTGTAAATATGAGTGTTTTTAGAATTTCTTTTTAAAAAGTGAAACCTTGGCCAGTTTTGAAGAAGAGTGATTTATTTAACAGTCTTGGGCTATACTTTTTTCTGTTGTATTTTGAGGCAAGTAGAGTTAGTGCAGGATTTGGTGAACTGTAAAGGGCCAGATAGTAAGTGTTTTAGTCTTCATAGGTTGTGCTGTCTTAGTTACAGCTACAAAACACTGCCTTTGTAGTGTGAAAATAGCCTCAGACAACATGTCAACAAATCATGTGGCTGTGTTCCTATAAACTGTTATTTACCAAAACACACAGATTTGGCCTGTGGATCGTTTGCCATTCCCTGAATTAGAGTAGCATTTCAGAATTTTACAGGACAAAATTATTGAGACTTTTGGAGGGTTATTTGGAGCCAAGTTTAAGAAAACTACACAGAAAGCTAATGTAAATTCTACTAGTGTGATTGAAAAGTTGAGAGTTTTAATGCTTAGAAATCAGAAAATAACAAGGATAATTCTGACCATGGTATTTCCCAGGTGGAAGAATTTTCCAATCGTCATTCTTCTCTCCTGTTTATATTTTCCATTCCTCTCCCAAACACAATGAGAACTGGGAATGGGGAGATGCTGGATAAAGCTAGATGCTATCTGGGGCATGACCTTAGTGGTATAAGGTCATCTGGGGCTCACCCTAATTCCTCCAGAGGGCGGCTCCTAGCCATAGAGCAGGAGCTTGATCCTGGACTTGTTGAAGTGAACAGCACGTCACTGAAACAGAACTGGACCACCTTCTCATAGTTACATCTACTACCCTTGCCTTTGATTTGTAATGTAAGTATCCTTTACAAAACTCCCCACATGTAATATTCTCCTCAATTCAAGGCTGAGGTAGCCTAAGAATAGGGTGGCATTTGCATTTTACAAAAGAGGAAGTGGCACCTACAGGACACCAGGGGCTTCTCCCAGGGCCAGAGGGAAGCCCCAGCCTAGGCGTCTGAGTCCTATGCCAGGAACCTGCGGCCCCTCCTGGAGTGGGTAGAGAATGGAGCACTCACCCACCCAGAAAAGTCCCTTGTTATTAGTCATTGGCTTCCCTCTGCAGAATGAATGACCATATTGTCATGCTTCTTATTTGGGCTATAAATGTAACTGACCTTGGGCCATGCTGATGCAGGAAACTGAGCTCTGAATTGAATGATACTTGATTGTGTTCAGGCTCACATATTTTTCTTAAGAGTCAAAGAATAATTAGTCTGGGTAACTACTTAGAGATCTCAAAGAGATAAGAGTAAAATTCTGTAATGTAATGCAGTAAGGATTGTTCAGGCAAGACTTAAGATTTTGCCGGTAGGGTTCCTCCAAGCTTGGCCTCTGGAGAGCGCTGTCCCACTGAGCAAGACATAGGCTATTCATCAATTTGATGGGAGAGTTTGTTAATAAAATAATTTTTTAAATTACTAATTTTTATGCATTTATTTGGAAATACGTCAGACAGTAGGCTAGGTCTGTGGTTGCAGTTTTGAAAATGGTAAGGTCCCTGACCTCGGATTCTAGTGGGACTCTGATGAGAAGAAACTGATTTTATGTACCTAATTGATTTTGGAAAAACCACTAATTCTTTTTCAGTTGAACTAGTTTGCTTTATTTTAGAAGTCTGTGCCTTATCCTACAAATGTTGTACAGAAACCTTTTTGTTGCAGAGCCCTTAATTATATAGTATGTTGTTACACAACCAACCTGGGAGGGAGGTGAAGGGATCCTTCTCCCCATTTCACAGATGAGGAAGTGAAGATTTGAGAAGTTCAGATATGGTGAGCCTGCTTCCTCATTGTCTCGGATAGTCCTGACTTCTGCTGCTTGTCCTGGAGTAATTATCAGTACCACCCCATTTCACTCCCACAAGTGCCCTGTTTTGGGTGATAAATTGCACTGCTGGCTGAAGTTTAAAAGACTTGTTCCAGTAAGTGGAGGACTTGGCCCTTGAACTCAGATTTTTAATACCAAACTAGTTTTTCTTTCTACTAAGACAAAAGAATGTAACACTTGATTTAGACAGTTTGATTGACTAATACAATGGAAGATAAGTTTCCCACATCCTCATCTGTGTTCTAAATCAGAACTTCACTTAGGTGTTACTGGACCTAAGAAAGGAGGAAGTTCCTGCTGGCACACTAGTTAGTTAATAAAGTTGAATGACTGGGCTCCTGGAGCAGAGAGAGACCTTTGGGGACCCTATGGGTCCCACCGCTGATGATTGGCTGGACTTGCAGTTTTGCTGATGCTTGGGTTTGAGTGGAACAGGCTGATTAGCTGGAAAGCTGGACTGGGTGCTGTGTTTAACCCTTAAAATTCTCTGCTTGTCTCACTCACATATTTTGGGAAGATTGTATGCTGGAGCGGCCTTCAACTTGCCGAGGTTGCAGGGAGACATCTCTTTAATATAGAATGTTTTCCAATCATTGGACACCTAATTTGCTTTGATTATCAGTCTGATGGTCAGACAGCCTTTTAGAGATTATCCAGCCTGGAACAAGCAATGCTTGGCATTCTAGCTCAGACAGAGCAGTGGGCGGTGGGGAGGGACACTCGCCACCTAGAGGTAGCTTTGTGATTGGTACAGCACCTGGGCCTCAGTCCTTTGGAGAAATTCCCAGGAGGGTGCTGCTGTCTGATGGGCCTGGCAGCTGGCCTCTGGCTCCTGAGGGGCACAGCTCACCCCACTTGAAGTTGGAGCCCATGGAGAGGGCGGCTCCTTCGGGGAAGCCCAGCTCAGCAGTGCGGCGGCTACAGGATCGAGCCTAGTGCTGCCATGACATCGGCAGTCAGCACAGGTTTCATTAGTTGGAATTAACAACTGTTAATCCCACCTCTGTGGCTGACACCTGTACTGCCTCAGGTGTGTCACTTTGTAAAGTAATAATGGTGGTGATCCATCTCAGGAGACTGAGGTGTTGATCAGGTGCCCTCTGTCATTCTAGACAGGAGCTGTGAAAAATGAGGAGTTGCCTGCACTGCTGCCTCTGACCTGGGCCTACAGTTCAGTGTCTGAAATGTGTAGGGTCCGTGCTTTTCAGTGACACACGTTTGTTCAATAAATTACGTAATCTAAGAGGTAAGGCCCTTTTCCATTTTCCCCTTAGTGGGTCCACCTAAATGGATTTTAAACCCAAGAGACATGTGTTGAGTGCCAGCTGTGTGCCCAGCACTGCTCTGGGTGCCGGGAGCAGGGCAGTGCCTGAGGAGGCCAAGCCCCTGTGCTTGCGGGGCTTCACTCTGGTGCACACAAACTGGGGAGTGTCAGCGGGGACGTGTGCTCTGATGGAAATAAAACAGGGTAGTGGGGTTGTGGGAGGTAAGCATGACTCAGGGTGGGGGTGCCGTGTTAATCAGCATGTGAAGTTGGAGTTGAGACTTGAAAGGAGCCAGCCAATGCCTGGCATTCCCGGCAGAGGGACTGTCAAGAGCCAAGGCTTTGAGGCAGGAACAAGCTTGCCATGTTCAGACGAAGGCGGCATGGCATGAGGTAGGCAGGCCACAGATTATATAAACCTGTGGGCTTGGATTGGGAGTTGGGACGTTATTTGAGGGTGATGGAAGGTTTTAAGCAGGGAAATAACATGTCTTAGATTTTAAGTGGTTCATCTGCTTGCTTGCTAGAGTACTGGGCTTCTGCCGTGCTTTGACATGAGATGGAGGCCACTGATGCAGCCCCAGGAGAAGCTGAGTGGTAGTGGTGGGAATGGGGAGCAGTGGGTGGGTCTAAGGCAGGCTGGACTGCTGGGATTCACCGATTGTGGGTGGGTGCGGTTTGTGAAAGAGAGGGAACCAAGAGGTTTCTGGGTTTGGGACTTGAATAACGTGAATTGTTGATGGCAGTGGCATATATTTGCTAAGGTGGCGAAGAACTTGTTTGTAGTGGGGAAATAAAGAGCCCAATTTTGGAATAATCTGGGGTGGGAGGGTGGGAAGTGAATGGAGTTACAGATGAAACAAGATTAGCCATGAGTTTTATCATCTAATATCAGCTGTTGAATTTAGGTCGTGGGTACATGGAGATTCATTTTACTATTTTTACTGTTTTGTATATGTTTGACATCTTCCATAATAAAAAGGAAGAAATTTATTAAGGAAGATAAAAGCGTTCTGTGTTGGATGTGATTTTTGAAATGGAAATTCAAATGAGCAGTTGAATGTATGAGTTTGGAGTTTACTGCTGGAAATAAATAAAAATTTTAAGCTTGTGTAGAGAACAGGGGATGAGGGCCCAGGACTCAGCTGTAGGGTGTGTCAGCATTTAGTGGTCATGCAGAAGAGCTGGAGGAGTGTCCAGCGAGGCCAGAAGAGATGAGCAGGGTGCTGGTAGAGCCAGGAGAAGAGCATTTTGAGGAAGGGGCCAGCATGCTGAATTCTGAGAGTTGGTCGCTGGGTTTAGCGAAGTGGATAGCGGTGACCAGAGTGACCAACTTTAGTACATTGCGAAGCGTGGAAACCTGGCCACATTCTGTTGGCGAGAGAGTGGGAGATAAGGAAGTGGAGCCAGGACCACACATAACCCTTGAAGATTTTTCATGAGAATAGGAGCAGAGAAATGGGGCGACAGCTGGACTACGGAAGGGCCTTGTTTTGTTTATTGTATTTTGAGAAACAGCAAAGTACGGTGATCAAGATGTGCCTGGATTCCAGCTTGTGCTTTGCCTTGTATTAGCTTGGGGGCCTCAGTTTTCTCATCTATAGAACAGGGGTCATGATGACACCTACCTTGCAAGGCTGTGCAGAATGAGTGAGTGTCTGCAGAGCGCCAGCATGTGGGAAGTGCTGTGTGTATAGAAGTCGCTGCTGCTCCTTTGTGAGGTGGAAGCCCCGAGCACTCCCACATTCCCGTGCAGAAGACGGGAGAGGCCTGCTGGGGTGAAGGCGTGGGGAGGCAGTGGGGAGGCAGAGGAGACAGCCCGGGCGGACGGGTCAGCCTTCGCTAGGAGCCCCGAGGGTCCACCTGTCATGCCAGGATGTAGTGTTGACAGGCGTAAGCCACCTAAGAAGTTGTACAGTTGACACAATTCTGTGGTCTTTCCTTGTCAGTAAGTCACTTCAGCAAAACTAGTTTCTTTTAATCAGATTCCTACTCATCAGATTCGTATTCTGCCACAGTTTAAATAATGTCTCTGGGTTTGGGTGTCCTTACATGTCCTGTGACATACTATTCTTGATAATGACTAAATTTCCTTCAACTCTGAAATTCTCTGTGTTTCAGGTTATCTCTAATCCTGGCTTTGTCTAAGTTTTTAAGGCAGCAAGTGAATGACTGAATGGGAGTGAATAGAGGAAACCAGCCAGGTTTCCCAAAGAAAGACCTGTTTCCTGTACAGAGACTTTTGCTGCAGCAGTAACATCAAAATATCCTACATAAAACCAGATTTCTAAATCGGTGTGATGGAATTTCCTTTTAGATGCTGACTCCATCAAAGCATTAAAAATGTGTGCTAGTAAAAATTGGCAAATGTATTGTTATTTTATTGAACAGTAGAAGAGTCTAAATGTTATTTTATGGAAAACTTCATTTCCTGCCATGTGTTTTAACTTAGGGCATGACTAGTTGAGGTTTCAGTTGCGAAATCTTTTGATCCATTAAGTATGAGAACATGTACAAATGTTAAAACGTGTAGTTTCTCCATCATGTTTTGCTTATTCATAAAAATAAGGAATGGTACATACCAAGGGCCATGATTACAAATCTTAATTACATGAAACTAGCTTTACAGTGAAATAAGGATGTGGCTTTCAAAAAGACTTTGCTAATAGTTTTGATCCACTTTGCTAAAAATCTTTATATAGCCTATAGTATTTTTATTAAAGTGTTAAAAGGGAGGCGTGTCTTTAAAAATCATGAGTTGTGCAAGGTATTTTGTGCGACCAGTTATAGCAGTTTGCCAAAATGATTAGGATTACCAGTAACAAGTGTATGAACATTTATATAAATACCAATAGACATAAAGTGTGAACATTTTTGGTCATAAAGACTATCCAAAGGAAAATACCACTTTTTCAACAGAAAATGTAGCTTCTTTCCCTCCACTGAATTTTCTATTTAGACGTTAGCAAATGATAGGTGATCATTTCATGTAGTCTATCTAGCCTTTGATGTGAAGTATGCTCACATGATTCAGCTTCTGTAATAAGATACTGGGCCCTGTCCCCCTCTCCCCCCCCGTTAAGTATGAATCTGGGGTTCCATGGCTCTTGGGGATGTGTTGAAAGCTCACACATATCTAGTTTTATTAAGGAATCTGACAGATGTCAGTTAAACTGCTGTAAAAGAAACAATGTAGCTCTTGGCTGTGTTTTTACGAATTCTTGTGCTGAAAGAAAATAATGAATGTTTATAAAATCAACATTTCTTTTTATAAGCAACACAAAAAAGAAAGTAGTATAATGGAGAGTCCTCTGATGATTTTGTACATGTTTTGTACTACATGTTTTTGTAGTAAGATACTTAATATAGAGTGTGTGGCAAAGGAAAATTCTGTTCTGCTGAGAAACCCCTGCCTTCTGTGACCTCTCCCACAGTTTTGGACATGAATCTAGATTTTCTTTAGTGGCTCCCCACCTTCCCCCATTTGTTAAACATCAGAAGGCTCCTGATCTTCTAATTTTTGTTCTAGAAACCAATTTTAAGTGACTTTAAGTTCATTTTCATTCATTCTTTGAATATTTACTGAATCTTACTATATGCTTTGAGCCCTGTGCTTGACCTGTGGAGCTGACACAGATGTAAATTCATGTAAATTCTACCCAGTACCTGATCTCAGGAGGCGTGTGAATGTGTGGTGGAAAAGGCATATTCATGAGCATTTACATTTACATTAACACATGCTAAGTATGATAAGAAAGGCAGAAACATTTTATTGGTAGAGTTGAGAGGATGGAGAGAAGCATGAAGACCTCAGGCAGAGGGCTAGTATTTGAGCAGTGCCTGGGAAGGGTAGGTAGGAGGCTGACAGGACTGAGAGAGTGGTGCATGCCCAGTGACCCAGGCAAGGGTTTTGGGATGTAGGCAAGTGTCATGTGTCTTTGAGGACCAACTAGCAAGTTGTCCAGTTTGGCTGGTAAACCACTAGCACAGGGATCTGGGAGTTCAAGCTGGTATGAGTTACAAAAGCCTTTTATCATTTTTAAATTTTATTTTACTTGAGTGTGAGAGCCCTTGAAGGTTTTTCAGCTGGAGAGTAACTTAGTGAAGTTGGAATAGGCACCTGTTGACTGATCTGCAAGAGAAAGGCTCAGGTAGCAGTCCAAGTGAGACGAAAGAAATTCTTGGCTCAGGCTGGTGGTAAGTGAGCAAGGAGAGGAAAAGACATGAGCTGAATTCATGGAACTTGGCTATGTGAAAATGCCTGGAAGTCAAATACTGTGTGTGTGTGTGTGTGTGTGTGTGTGTGTGTGTGTGTACACCGACTGAAAGTCAAATACTGTGTGTGTGTGTGTGTGTGTACACCGACTGAAAGTCAAATACTGTGTGTGTGTGTGTACTGACTGAAAATGAATTTGACTTTATTGAGTCCAAATAGGCTGTAGAATTGAAACCCTGATGATGGAAAGCAGCTGATTTTGGGGGCCCTCTGAGAACAAGAGTACCTTCCCCACTTCTGCATCTCCATTGTAAGGAACTATGTTCAAGAACAGTTTGTGGAAGGAATGGTTGTGGTGGATTTGATTATACACGTGAGTTTACCACTGGCCAGGACCATCAGGGCCAAGGATAAGGGCCAAGCAGACCTGGCTTTGAATCTTGACTCAGCCATTTCTGAATGATCTTGAGCAAGTTACTGAGCCTTTCGGTTTCCTTATCTGCAGAATGGAGGATAACACTGTGTCTTGATTTTTGCTAAAGGAATTAGTGCACATAACACATTGATCCCAGCTCTGGTGTACTCCTGAGATAAGTGCTCCTCAGACATTGGCTGTTGTTACTCACAGGGCAGTGTGGGTGTGGGCCTGTGGTTGGCAGAAAAGGCATGATGAATTGGGGTGGGGGCTTAGTAGCTCTGGGAATATTGGAGGCCACAGCCTAGAAGGAGGCAGTTTAGAGAAAGTGCTCACTGAGGCAGCGCTAAAGGAGAGGCAGGAGGGGACCCAGAGAGCTCAGTGTCAGCTCTCCCAGGCAAGGAGAATGTTTTAGGGAGGCAAGAAAGTAAAAAGGATCCCAGTCGGGGAGATCAGGGAGGGTGAGAACTGACACTGGACATTGAGTTTGGCTGTTTGGGAAGACGTCCACTAGCTTTGGAAGGCGAAGAGGCAGGAGAACAGAAGCCAGTTGCCTCTGGCGATGGAATGCAGTGAGGAAAAAGGGAAATTCTGACCGGTAGGGATCAGTGGGGGCAGGTAGGAAAGGCAGAATTTCTAAAATACAAAATAATTGATAGGATGTGATAGAATGACCACCATACTTTACAGGTGTTTATTGTAGCCCAGGAGGACAGTCCTGAGGGTGCAGGGCTTAGTCTGAGGTTCTGCATGGCAGCACTGGTATGGTGGCATATGAACAATAAATGAGTAAAAATATATAATGTAATAAATACTAATACACTGATCATAATTAATGCAATAAGATACACATAATGGACATTTGATAAGTATTTCCTTTGGGCCAGCAGCATTACAAGTGTTTTGCATGTATTATCTCATTTAATCCTGCCAACAGCTCTCGGCTGTAGGTGGTGGTGTTCTCATTTTACAGCTGAGGGGGGCTAGGTAAGGTGCCCAGAGTCACACAGCTGGGAAGTAAATGGTGGAGTCAGGATTGAGTACCAGGGATCTAGCCCTAGAACCCATGCTATTAACAGCCATACTATGTTACTTTTATTTAGTTGAACTGTTTAGGATGAGCACTAGATGAGCATTGTTAGGTGGCATTAGATATCATCGTGTCTAATAGGTCTAGAGAGAGGAAAAGTGCACATGAGGGGAAGGGCTGGTGGGAGCTGGTGAGGCAGTGTTTCAGGAGGTGGGCATGACTAGGGTTAGAAAGCAGGCAGAGAGTGTGGAAGATTCTGCTTTCAGGGAGAAGAGGAAAGGATTGCTAAAGATAGAGAGGCAAGGAATTTTATAGGAGTAAAAGAAAGGTAGAAGGTTTTAAGAGAGATTTTGATATGAGGGATACCACCATCCATCTTGAGAACTTTCCAGTGGATTTTTAAGATTTGTCTCCTGATAATTTGATTCATCCTAGTTCTGTTAGAGACAGGGGCCTGAATAAGCTAGCATTAGGGTGGGAGGTCTGGAGGCTCAGTGACCCTGATGGCTGCTCAAGTTGCTCTCTAGTAACCCATGTAGGTAACACCGTCCAAGAAGAATGACCACCCTTTGGTGCTACTGACCTGGTGTGCTCCCAGAACTGGATGGAAGGCAGTAGGAGGTTGCCCAAAGGTGGAAGAAATAAAGAATGAAGGAAGCTGAGACATGATGGATTTGACAGGTGTTGAGACAGGGATGACACTTCACTGAAGACTGCCTGACTCACCCCTTACGATTTTCTAAAAACCAGATAGGTCATTTAGAATAGTGCTCCTCAAACTGCCTGTAGGGAAGGGCTGTTTTGTTGTTATTTTAAGATTGTGGACTGTTTATATTTCTCAAACTGTCTCTAGCACAGGGCTGTTCTGTTATTTTAAGGTTGTGGACTGTTTATATTTTGCAAAATACAATAAAATAAAATTAGAAAAAATTAAAGACACTAAAGAATGTAAACTTAATTTGCTTTTTATTATTAGATTCCGTAGACACACAGTTTGTCTTGGACTCAGAACAAACACAAGCTCACAGCTAATGGTGGGGCTCACCTTGTGTGTGTAGTACTGACCGACAATTTAGACAACAGGCCTCCAGTTTCCTGACCGTTCCTGGCATACCAAGTCCCATGCCTGGCACATGTTAGACATGTAAGAAATCAATGCTTGTTAAACAGTCCTTCTAAGAGATGATTTTTGTATGCAGAATAAAGCAAATCTCAAAAATAAGGCAATGAGAATTTGCCTGTGGTAGGCAGACTCTTAAAATGTGCTTTGCCTTGTTTTGCAATTTCCAAAAATCACATCTCTGTAGATGTCAGAAAAACCTTGGTGAACAGAGGCGCAGCTTGTGCCTGCCATGTGTACACTAACTGCAGCAGCAGCCCCTCTGTCGCTCCAGGTCGTGTCAGCTGCCAGGGTGTGTGGCACTACCCCTGAGTCACCCTCCGTGAAGAGGCTCCGCCTGCTGGTTGCTGATAAAGATTTCTCTTTCAAAGCTGGCCAGTGGTAAGTGGCTTTTCTATTTTTTTCTGTTTCCTAAGTGGTGTGTTTGTTCATGAAGGTGCCATTAGACGGGCTTATTTTTTCTTCTGGAAAGGACTTCTCCTGAGGAGTAGGGATTCCAGCCATCTTCCCTTCATGTAAGCTTTTCTTTAGTGTGGAGAAGCTGATTCCTTTCCTTGCCTTAGAGCTCACCTTGGTTTTGGGCCCACGGCCTCTCAGTCACAGAAGAAAATCTCCGCCTTGAGTACTCCAGATTGAAACCAAGCAGCTGGGCCTGGTCTGAGGACCCGACAGCGCCAATCGCTACGCTCTGTGGGAAGGGCGCTGCCAGAATGCACTGCAGTAGCTGCCATGCTTGACTTACGTGCTCTTGGGGACTGATGCGTCCTTAAAACGACTCTTCTTTATGTCAAATACAGAGTAAACGGGAGGGTGACTAGTTATGTCACAGAGCTGATTACCCTCTTGACTGAACTATGTCATTCATACCTTGTCTGGGTTGAGTTTAAATATTCTGCTGAATTTCTTACCAGGATCCCCCAGTCAGGCCGAGCCCACAGCACACTCGTGAGCCGGCCCCTTTCCACTCTGAGGACTAGTCAGTGTGCTGACCAGGGAACAGCCCAGCCGTCCCACTGTTCAGTCAGTGGCCTCACTGAGCCGCAATTCAGGTTGAATTGTAAATAAAGCGACTTGTATTTCCTTAGGAAAGGTGTGTTTGGGTGAATGTTTCCTTTATTTAAATAAAGCATTCATTTCTAAATGAATTGCTGGCATGTCAGTCTCCGTAGTATTTCTTAGGAGTCACTTGACTAATTTTGGCAGTCCATCTGGAAATGTGGTTTTGTTAGGAGGATGTGTGATAATAGCAAGTGTGATAATAGCAAGAGTTAGCAGTCTTGTGTTAATAGTTTGCCTTTGAATTTAGAACTAGAAAACAAGATGCTGATTGCAATAATTTGCGTTTGTGAAGCAATTTACTGCAATCTTTGCACATGTTCAGTGATACATATTAAATGCATTTGGGCTGTTTTAGGGGGATGGGCAACATTTTTACCCTTCAAAAATAGTTTAGCAGTTACTACACTGGAAAGTGGAAACTTTAATTGTAATGATCTATCTTTCCAGATTTCCCTTCTGTGGAAGTGTTTGTGTCCTGTGCATAGCATCATAGCATTGTCTCTGTGCCTTCACTCTTGAATCATGCCAAGAATCTGACCCTAGTCTCTGGATTAGCACATGCCTTTGCCTTGGTTTATAGTGCGACCTTGGTGTGCCTGCAGGCATGTTAGTGCTTGCCAACTGTAGTTAGCTGATGAGGAAAATGCCACTATTCCCTGGTGATAGAGAAAGAGTCAGTCTCATTGTGATCTTCAAGATAAAATTATTCCGGGTTGGTGTTCACTGATGGCGTATCAGTGAATGAATTTGGTAATTTCACTGCTGTTAGGACTGGTTGGAGTACGCACCTGCCAGACTGCTGATTCTGAGGGCAAATGTAGGGCTGGTTAGTGGTGACCCTCTCCCTGCCAGCTGTCAGTCAGTGTTCACTCCTGAGCACCTGGGGGGGCAGGGCCTGGGAGAGAAAGGTGTATCTGACTTCATGCAAGATTAAGTTTTTTTTTTTATTTAAGTATCATTGATATACACTCTTATGAAGGTTTCACATGAGCAACATTGTGGTTACTAGATTCACCCATATTATCGAGTCCCCCCCCGCCCGATCCCATTGCAGTCATTGACCATCAGCATAGTAAGATGCTATAGAGTCACTATTTGTCTTCTCTGTGCCATACTGCCTTTCCTGTGTATCTGTGCTAATCATAATGCCCCTTAATCCCCTTCTCCCTCCCTCCCCACCCATTCTCCTTACCCCTTCCCTTTGGTAAGCGCTAGTGTCTTCTTGCAAGATTAAGTGACTAGGCTCTACTGGGAGGAGGAGGATACCAAGAAGGAAGTGATTAGAGGAGCAGGAGGAGAGAAAGAAGACTCTACCCCTGTCCTCTAGCTGGCCGTGTACAGCTCCACAGCCGTGTTGGGCAGGTGGGACTTTCACGTGACCACACATAGGAAGTGCTACATTTCTTGGTGTCATCGCTCACTCTGTGACCTCCTCTGCTGCTCGTCTGGTGAGCACTGTGTATCTTTTAAGATGCTTCTGTAAAGTCTTAATTGCTCCACCCTTGTATAATTGGCTACTTCTTCCAATGTTTCCTTCCCCCCAACTCCCAAGCAGTGTTTTTTTAAATAGTCAGAATCACGTATTTTTATTCTAAGAAAAAAATCTATACTAAGTACTTCCAGACAGGTGTCAAATGAGCATTTTCTCTCTCGCTCAGGCATATTTTGTTGTAGTCTACTGAATCATATTTGTTAATTTTCCTCCCATTAGGGTATGTTTATTGAGGACAAGAACTGACCTCAGTGCCTGGACATGGCAGGCAGGTGCTGTCTGTAGTGCCTGCACACAGAATGAGGGAGGGCCCCAAACATGGCCACCCAGGACTAAGGAGCCTGAGCTTTCACAGGAAAGTGTCCCTTGGCCATGGGCCACATGCCCGCCAGGTGCTGGCCCTGGAGGCTGCATCTGTGGGTGTGCATGGCAGGATGTGGTATGTGTGCTTCTTCACGAACTAGACTTTTCTCTTGGTTCTTCATATACCCACCATCTGGGGTGCAGTGGGTATTCTTCAGCTCCTGGCTCCAAAAGCCCTAATTCTGCAGAGGGCATTTCTAAAGAGATGTGTATGTTTAAATCTTAGCTCTTTCTTGGAAGATGGTGTATATTCGTAAATCCATTCAAATGAGGCTTTTATGTCATTTGAAGTCTTCTATGGCATTTAATGGAGTCCTTTGTTCTAAATGCTTTCCTAAGTTACTGGAGAAGAGGAATTGATAACCCTGTCGCTCACCTGAGCTTGGTCCTTATCAACCTCAGGCAGCAGAGGGCACTATAGTTCAGCAGATAGAGCCACAGAAGTAAGCTCATTGATGCAGTTTTTACACACGGAAGCTGCGGAGATCCTATCCTGTCTCTCTGAAAGCACATAGCAACTGTGTTAACACATTTAACCGTAGCCTTCTAAAATTTGTATCTTGTCTGAAATGAAAGGGAAATGAAGATACTTCCGTGTGAGAAACGCTGTGGGAAAGAGTCAAGTGAATACAGGTAAAAGTAGGCTAGGGGCCTGTTCTGGAACCCTTCCAGTCCAGCACTGTTTTTTTGACTGTGAAAAATGTCCAGACATTTAAGGTCATAGATCAGAAGAGAACATCTTTTAAAGTCATAGATCAAATCAGTAGAGAACATCATGTGCACTTCATGTAAGCCTGCTGTAGGAAAACAGCCGTGGGAAATGGTACTTTTGCTCTTTGATGGCTGAGAAGAACCCATATTGGATGTTTGAATTTCCAACACACGGGGGTGTTGGTAATATGGTTAACTCCGTTTAACTTTTTTCAGGCACTGCCAAAGTGTTTCACAAAGTGGCTGTGCCATTTTAATTCCCACCAGTATGTATAAGGGTTCCAATTTCTCCAGATCCTTTCTAATGCTTGCTATTGTCTTTTTGATTAGCCGTTCTTCCTAATGAATGTGAAGTGATAGCTCATTGTGATTTTGATTTGCATTTCTCTAATAACTAATGATGTAAGCTTTTTATGTACTTATTAGCCATTTATGTATCTTTTTTGGAGAAATGTTTGTATAAATCCTTGGCCCATTCTCAAAGTTGTGTTTTTATTACTGAGTTGTAAGTGTTTACATGTTCTGTTTGTAAGTCCTTTCTCAAATGAATGATTTGAAAGTATTTTCTCTCGTTCTGTGGGTTGTCTTGTAACTTTGTTGATGTCGCTTGTAGCACAGTTTTTTAATTTTGATGCAGTCAGGTTTCTCCAGTTTTTCTTTAACCGACGTGTTTTGGTGTCATATCTAAGTAACCATTGCCATGAAGAGTTACTTCTAAGAGTTTATAGTTTTAACTCTTAAGTTTAAGTCTGGGATCCATTTTGAGTTAATTTGGGTATATGATGTGAATAGGGGTCCAACTTAATTCTTTTTACTTGTGAATATTCAGTTGCCCCAGTGCCACTGTTGAAAATACTACTCTTTTGCCACTGAACTGTGTGGTACCCTTACTGAAAATCAATTGACCATAAATTAAAGGGTTTATTTCTGGGGTCAGTTCTTTTCTATTAATCTATATGCCTGTCCTTCATGCCAGTAACAGTGTCTTCATTTTAGCAACTTTATAGTAAGTTTGAAGTCAGAAAGTGTGAGTCTTCCAAATTTGTTCTTTTTCAAGATTGTTTTGATGATTCTGGGTTCCTTAAATTTCCATATTAATTATATGGTCAGTGTCACCTTCTGCAAAGAAACCAGCTGTGTTTTGATAGGTATTGCATTGAATTAGTTCATAGATCAATTTGGGGAGTATTGCCATCTTAACATTGTCAGTGCTTCTAATCCATGAACATGAGATGTCTTTCCATTTATTTAAATATTCTTTGATTTTTTTCAGCAATGTTTTGTACTCTTCAGTGTACAGGTCTTATACTTCTTTTGTTAAATTTATTCCCAATTTTCTTATTTTTTGTTATTGTAAATGGAGTTATTATTCTCAATTCAATATTTTGATGGTTCATTGGTAGTGTATGGAAGTACAATTGATTTTGTTATTGATCTTGTATCGTGTAATCTTACTTGAATTTATTTATTATGTTTAATATCCTTATAGTAGATTCCTTAGAATTTTCTATATTTAACATCATGCATGTCATCTGCAACTTTTTCCTTTCCAATGTGGATGTCTTTTATTTCATTTTTCACTTAATTGCCTTGGCTTGAACCTGTATCCTTGGTTTTGGGCCCACGGCCTCTCAGTCACAGAAGAAAATCTCCGCCTTGAGTACTCCAGATTGAAACCAAGCAGCTGGGCCTGGTCTGAGGACCCGACAGCGCCAATCGCTACGCTCTGTGGGAAGGGCGCTGCCAGAATGCACTG